TCATTGTGGCTGGGTGGCTGTGATCCATCGAGGCCGCGTTCGGGAGAGACGGCTGGTAAAGCACGGGGTTTGGGGAACCACACTGCTGGAGAGATGTTGATGGATTCGAATGTAAATTAGAATTTCTCTGTCCTTATGTTCATTGGATGATTCAAATTGGCTGAAACTGGGGCGTTCGGTCTGTACCTTGTGCGAGCGGAAGAGCCTGCAGTGCTGGACCAGCAGAATCACGAAGGACATCGTGACACTGATCAGCATAGACAGCAACCCCAAGATGTATACATAGTTGCTGTCTGAATTATTCAGGTAATTATAAGTACAGTTACTTCAATATGGAAATTAAGGTGAACGTCCTTCATATAGTATTTATGAGTTATGTTGCTTTACTTCGTTTTAGCAATATATTATTCTCTTCTAAGAATAAAATTATGGAACTACTACAAAAAAGCGGACAGTAATGAATTACATGTGGAGGAGCAGAGGTTCACCAAACAGGGAAAAAAAATAGAATATTATCAAACTACACAAAGTTCTTACAATTTTCGTTGCATTGTTTCTCATCGTCAGAATGAGGTTCTCCTGCCTTTCCAGTGTGCCATGTCTGTACCAGAACAAATCTGCGGCCGTCCTGACTCTGAACACGCATTCTCTTTGGGACTTCTTTGAGACTCTCCGTGTGTATGGGAAGACCAGCACTGAATACCTAAAGATGGGAAGAATTCTTCCATTACGAATTATGTGAAGATATCAAACACTACCAGTATATTTTTATGATATGAGAAACCACCCAAAGAGCCCGATTGAGTACCTGGAACATCGTACTGCCATTTTCCTTGTACGCTTTCAAGACAAGGCGATGGCTGATGCCCCCAAGCAGAGGACCGTGGTGTCTCCCTGTCATCAAACTCTCTCCACTCATCCCCAAGTGGAATTCTGAATCGTCAACACTGAAGACGGCTCGGAAAGTGGTCGTGGAGAACAACGTAAGATTCTCTGGTGTTTCGTAGTCCACTTGCAGAGGAATATTGACACCGTCCTTGCCTTCCACCTTCCACACGGGCGTGTTTGTGGGACACATCCGAGCGAAACGGCTTCCCGAAAGCTCCACTTTGTACACGGGACACTCGAGGGTAATGTTGTCTGGAAGCCAGGGCTGACGTCTGCCGTCGAGGAGCGTCAGATTTCCCACATAGCCAAGCGTGAACCTCATCCAGCCGCTGCTGTTGTCGGGAGCGTCGTAAGGGCCGTAAGTGCTCGTCGTCGTCGCCTTGATCGTTTGAGAATTCCACTCGATGTAATGGTACTTTTCATCGGCGCAAGAAATGCGAGCTCGAATCCGTGTCAGTTCGTCGGGTATGAGGGCCAGGAATTCCAGGGTGTCGAACAGGATATCGCTCTCTGTTATTTCAGAAGAAACGATGCAGTCTGTGAAAATAGAGTACTCAAATTAATGAGGTTCTCTCCGCTTTTTCGAAACTGTGTCTGGCTAATGATAGATTAAGGTCGCCGGACTAACCTTTCTGAATTTCGAAAGGGGTCGCAGGGAAGATGTGCAGCAAGAGCAAGAGGAACGAAATCCTTTTTGCCTCGGCCGAGGCCATGGCGACAGCAGAGGAGGAGGCTGGTGTCCTACAAGGAGGCGCCCAGGAAAGACTGAGGGCGTTTAGTGATTCTTGTAGAGTTTCCCTAGAACAGCGGCGGCAGTGGGCGTCGCTAAGTCTAGACTCCACCAATCACATCCACATCAGAACATCCTAATCCAGGGCTTCATCTTTTCGCTTCCGCCAATGAAGTCGTCGACCTATCAGGCTGACACGAATGCTGAAGCATGGCTGACGCTTGAGGACGCGTGTGGGGGATGACGGAGCCAAATTGATGATGCGATTTAATGTGCATGTTCTTTTCCTCTTTCCCTCTCTCTCTTTATATATATATATATATATATATATATATATATATATATATATATATATATATATCCCTCCCACTCCTCCCTCTCTAGTTTCCGTCTCTCTCTCTCTCTCTCTCTCTCTCTCTCTCTCTCTCTCTCTCTCTCTATATATATATATATATATATATATATATGTGTGTGTGTGTGTGTGTGTGTGTGTGTGTGTGTGTCTGTGTGTGTATGTATATATATATATATATACACGCACACGCATATATATACATATGAAAGGATGGATAAGTGGGTATTACTTGTACACAGCACATTTGTTGGCAGGGCGCAATTTTTTTCAGCTCATTATTATGTTGTAAAAGGTGCCAGAGACTTATAGACAAGATTTCCGTAATTGCCATAAAGATGGTAAAAAATCCTTTGTTGAATATATCTGCTAAAAGTAACTTTTGTGTTAAAATGGGTCGAGAGTGAACTTGACGCACTCGAGTACGATAAATTACTAGAACTGTTTATACTCGAGGATATAAAGAATTGTATGCTTGAGCGTGCGTGGTCTGCGCACATTAGCCGAGGTCGGTAGTGCCGCCGATCATTTCGCTCTCAATAATCCGAGCTACTCTTGCAGATCCAATGAGCCTTCATTCCAATCTAACATGCATAACGGTAAGCGAATGGAGTTTAATGCTAGAAGGACCGAACTGCCAGATACCCACAGGACTGTAAATGCAAAGTCGTCAGAAACAGGTGGTGAGAGTAGGAATTTTGCTCCTCGCGGTGAGAACTTTTCTGTTTGCCGTTATTGCAAAACACACAGTCATGTCATGAATGACTGTTTTAAATTGGCAAATAAGTGTTCTGACAGTAACAAACGTATTTTTCACGTCAATGCTAATAAGAAGAAAGAATTCTGATTTAATATCTGGCTATGTAAGATTTGGTGTTGTTGATAGGATACCAAGTGATGGCGTTTCAGTTCTTATGGGTAATGATTTCTTTGGTGATAGGGTGTGGCCTTGCCCTGTGGTTTCACCTTGTTCCACTAAAGAGAACAATACTGTAGATTTAGAGAGGGTGTATCCTGACCCCTTCCCTGCGTGTGCAAGTCGTAGGACCTCCCCTCCTTCCAAAGCGCTTACTCCCGGTACTACATTGCTAGAGGAGAGCCCATGTTATGTAATTACAGATAAATCTACACTAGTAGATTTCCTCAACTCATGTGCTAAAGTTTCAAGTAAGTCTGCATCTGATTTCAAGTTACTAAAGAAAACAAAGAGAACAACGAAAAGACGTTGAGTTATTTTTTATGATAGGCTTAATGATATAAGTGAACTTGAAAATACCAATACGTGCTATTATCTCCAGTGAGGCATTCTTATGCGTAAATACAAGCCCCATAATATATCTGCAGACGATACAAGTAGACCGTACATCAGATTATAATCTCAATGTCCCTTCGCACTGACGTTTTGAATATTGCACATGACTTTAGTGGTCATTTGGGAGTCAAGAAGACTTACTACAAGATTTTAGCTAATTTTTATTGGCCGAAAATGAAAAGTTAGACGTTATTGCCAGTCGTGCCATATCTGCCAAGTGAAAAATAAGCCAGGGGCCGGCATCAAACCATAAACCCTTGCAGCCTATCCCAGTGTTAAGAGAGCCTTTCAGTAATGTAGTTATTAACTGTGTAGATCCCCTTCTAAAGATTAAAAGGGGTATAACAGGTTTCTGATAACTATAATTGACGTGGCTCTCCCGATATCCTAAAGCTTTTCCCCTCAGACGCATTACTACTAAGAATGTTGTGAAGGCCTTGATAAAGCTTTTCACTCAGGTGGGTCTGCCTGCCGTAGTACAATCAGATCGAGGGTCAAATTTTATGTTCAGACTGTATGAAAAAGTTATGAAGTCCTTAGGTATACAGCAGTGCAGGTCCAGCGTATATCATCCTCAGAGTCAAAGGGGTAGTTGAAATACTCTATACTCTAAAGACAATGATTAAAGCCTTCTGTTTTGAGACTGGTTCTGCGTGGGATGCAGGGATAGATTTGCTTCTATTTTCAGTAAGGAACAGTATTCAAGAGAGCCTTGGATATTTACCATTTCAATTAATTTACGGCCAAGATGGGCGTGGATCACTAAGAGTGTTGGTTAAATAAGAGGAGATTCCTATAACTGCTTATGTTAATAAATTTAAGCATAGCTTACATATATCTATTTCAAAAGCCCATAATCATTTGGGGAAAGCTCAGACTAAAATGAAAGAACATTTTGAGAAAGTAAATAATTTTGAAGTAAGAACCTTTAATGAGAGTGTTTAGTTTTAGTCTTAATACCTCTTCCTAACCAGTCTCTTGAGTCTCGATATCCGGGTCCATTTCGTATTTTAAAACGAACCAGTGATGTTAATTATTTAAAGCCCCTTTGAGACGTGAACCTCCTGAAAAAGTACTACGAACAGGATGATTTGAAGGAAAATATGGAAAATGTACTAGAGCTTTCAATGGTTGTACCTTCTAACATCAGAAGTGAAAATAATGAAAATATATCTATTGTGGAACCTAACCTATCGAAATTGGACCTCCTCCACGGACCAAGTTCCGTTAACCGAGAGAGTGAGGCCAATGTGTGTGTTTGTCACTCCTGTCGGCCTCTATGAGTTCAAGGTTCTTCCCTTGGGATGGGGAACGCCCGGAGACCTTTCAGCGATTCATGAACTACCTGACGGCGGACATGGAAGGCGTTCGTTGTTCCCTCGATGACCTCGTAATCTGGAGCGAGGAACATCTGGTTCGCCTGCGTGCGCTCTTCTCGGCCTTGTTAGCCGCCAATCTCACGGTAAACCCGCAGAAAAATGAATGTGGACACGTTAATGTCACCTTCCTGGGTCACGTGATCGGCCAGGGCCAGGTCGCACCTGCAGCCGCAAAGGTGGAAGCTGTTCTGCAGTATCCCGCGCCCGTCGACAGGAAAGGCTCGATGCGCTTCACGGGGATGGCCGGCTACTACAGACGGTTCTGTAAGAATTTCCCGCAGGTATCCGCACCTTTGACAGGCCTGTTGAGTACTAAATGGACATTCAGATGGTCAGATG